GATGAACTACACGAGTGGTTTACTAAGTGCAAGGTAAAAATTCACCCAGGCAATAGTCAAGCCCTCCTCATTGGTAGGAGGAACAGCTTACCTGGAGGAAGCAGGTTCAAACATCTATCAAAAAGGCCAAAGCTGTAACCAGCAAGCTCTACCCACTCCTCAACCGCCAAAGTCATGAGTATTAGGAATGCCACTTAAAAAGACTACAAGCCACGGAAAACAAAATTCTGCGAATGGCAGTTGACGCGCCTTGGTTCGTACGCAACAGCCAGATTTGCAGAGATCTAAAATGGGAACCACTCAACGACTTCATAGTCCGAAAAGCAGGAGCTGATTTCCAGAAAGCGTAAAACCACTGCAATGAAGATCTTCGCAACGCGGTAAGTTATGAACCAATGCAGAGCTAACTTGAAACCCTACGAAAAAAAGGCCCAAGCAAGTGGTTTAGCTTAATAAGCTTATTTAAGTTAGCAAGATGCCCACAGCAGGCATGAAGCCTATGTGGAGAGAATGAGATGCAACGGCATGCGGGTGCCAGAGCTGACACAAACTTTAGACGACTGCATGTTTTAAAGGATTTCCTGGAAACTACAGCGCAAATGGTTTTTTTTTTAGTTGGTAAAAATACAACACTACCCGGTATTGCGGGATACCGGGTGTCTTCGCGAAGATTTTTATCCTCCACCTGCCGGGCAAAAAAAAACATTTTTGTATGCTCACCATTTGAATTGCCATATCTGGAAGGCCCCGGCGCATCAGACTTGCCTCTTCCAATACCTGCCCGATATCCATGAGGACTTCTATCTCTTTCGCGATCATTATATCTAATAATAAACCATATGTAAATATTTATGCACTTGACCACAATTAGTACAACACGTACCTATCTTTTCCTCCACGCGGGGAGGGTCCGTCCCGGTTTCTTGGTTCACGGTTGTTATATGGACGATTATCAAACTTATTCCCACTGCCAGAGGAGGTTGATGGGCCTAGATAAACGTGTGTTTTAAGTGCTTATTATTATGATTCAATTCCAATTGGCGCCTACCATCATAATCGCGACCTCGTTTGTCAGAGTATGAACCAGGATGCCTAGGCTTGCCACCATATTCTCCTTTAGAGGGCCCAAAAGGTTTACCCTTGGGGGTTAGATCATGGGGTTTGCTGGAAACAAGCACATGTAAAATTTGTTTAAAATCGTAAAATTTCACTTACGTAGAATCAAATCGTGGGGCCGGTGGAGCGTCGAAGTGGTCAGCAGTCATCGGTCTTTTTCTGTCATTGAAACGCTCATCGCTGCGGAATGTTGCCGGTCGTTTTTCTCTCCTGTCCTCTGAAAGCCGCTGCAATGTTCTTTCCAATTCAAGTTTTTCCCGTGAAATTTTCTCCCGCTCGAGACGCTGGCGCTCGCGTTGTAACCGAACTAAACCGTCAAAAACTTTAGCAATTGCAAAAATAATGTTATTATCGATCTTCTACCTAATTCGGCTTTTTCACGGGCAATTTTCTCCTTTTCGATTCTCAGTTTTTCCTTTTCCTTCTCTAGCCTCATTGACTCTTGCCTCTGGCGTCGTTCAATTTCCTTCTGTCTACTATGCTCCTCGTGACGACGCCTGGATTCTTCGCGAAAGATGCGCTCTTTTTCACGCATTTTTTGACGATCTCTTTCCTCCTAATCAATTTTTATCAATGTCTTAAACTAATTTGATCACTAGAACAGAACTTACCTTAATCTGGGCAAATGTAAGCACTCCACTCCTGTGCGCTCCTGAAGATCTGCTCCGATGCCCTCTCTGGAAAGTAAAACATCTGTTGCAGTCTATTATTTTTAGTCAAATATCTTTGAAAATAATAGGGTAGTAAGTAATACTTCTTACAAATCTGTCGTCTCTATGTCTAATTTCATCTCTGGACGCTCTTCTGCTACTAGAATCCGCCCTTTCCTTCGATTTAGTTCGATTCATTTCTTTTCCACTGGCATCACCTTCCCGTTTCTTCTCATCCTTCTCTCCTTCTTTCTTACTATCCTTAACGTCCACAGTTGGCTTTTCGTCACGCCTAGATTTAAAACCTGTCTTCTCACTACTATTCTTTGTGACCTTCATTTGGTCTGCTCGAACTTCATCAAACTGGTAATAATGAAACGATGAGTTTTATGTCAGGAAACAAAACTTTTCAATCACCTTCTCAATTTTGATCATTTGACCCTTTAATTCAGTGTTGTTGAGTTTAGCGATTACATTAGCCACATCTTCCAGGGAACCCATTGTGACATAGCCGAAGCAGTTGGATCCGGGATATCTAGCGTTAACAACGACTTTGGCTCCAGTCACTTTTCCACACGCTGATAGAGCAGCTTTCAGCTCACTTGCTCGAGTATTCTGGGCAACGTTCGATACCCAAACAACGTTCGGATTGGCTTTGACACAAATTTTTTTGTGCAGTTTTTCACTGGATCTCCTAGGAGGAACAGTTTTTTTGTAATTGAAGACAACCATAATGTAGAAAATGGAACTAAACTACGCTGTCCACGACGAATAATTTTGGATTATACCGCAACACTAATAGGTTGTAACAAACCCCTTTGTTTATTTTTTTAAATATTAAATCAGCCACTAAACAAGTGGATATATTTTTAAAGAACAAACTATACTTCGCTCATGAATATGCCATACACAAGTTCATAGTTGTTCATCATTTTGTAGACCATATGGGCATTTTAAGGTAGATGCATTTCAAAACAAAACGGTTATCTCGAGAGCCGAAAAAAGGAAACTAACTGTGCTCAATTATAATTTTAACCAGAGTCGCAAGTTGATATGTATATGCGCTTTTTGGAAACATCACAGCTAGCATGTCAACATCGATTCATCATCATTTGGAAAATTCACTGTCACCTGCCTCTAATCAGATATTTCTTTAAAACGGCGAGAAAATTATTTGCACTAAAATCACTGGAACTCCTCTTACCGGTTGTTGCTCCCTACATTAACTTGCATTTTGTTTTAAGTCGACTCGACATAATGCTGCCGCTACTTATCCTGCTCTTAGTAACACATTTGCCACAAAAAGACTCCAAGATGTTAATGTTGCAGATCACTGCCACGGTTTTCTCAAATAACATTATATCCAATCAATCACTCTTGTCGAAACACAACCAGCAGTAGGATACAGGCGTCCTCAAATCTTTGCATATGTAACTAACATATTTGCAGCACCTTGCAGATGTCGAATCCTGGTTCTTGCAACGTTATGTGTTCTTTTTCATTCAGATTTGCTTCAATATTACAAGGGGGGAAGGAATACAAACTGAAAGTATTAAACTCCTCAGCAGCAAATTATCCATCCAAGCATGCTAGTTTTCTTTAAGCCGCTTCTTTGGGCTTTAGAACGCATTTGGGTATCTATGCAAAACCATATCAGACCAGTTAACTCGGTAAAGTCTGCACAATTCAATCAAAAGGACATAAACATCTCTTGCAGCAAAAGCTTGTTTGTGGTTTGAGATATTATGCATGAGTCTCACCGAAGCTTGAAATATCTAAAGTAAATTGCATCTGTAAGTTTGCTCCTCTGTCCTTTAAACCATTTGTCTCTTCCGCCGTTCTCAGGAACTGATTACTTGGAAACACTCAGGACTATCCAGTTTGCATTTATTCTCCTTTTGTAATAGACAAGCAAATTCGACTTATGGGCAGCATTATGGAGTGTGCAGTGTAGCTTGTAAAATACGTGAAAACCAACCTATATCCATCTCCATTTTGTTGCTTTTCTGATCTTGATTCCTCCTTGCATTCTCCAACTTCCGTCTTCGTTTTATCTACAGAAATCAAAATCGACGTGATTTATAGGGATTTAAAATTATTGTAACAACCATGTAGTTTCAATCTGTTTTCAAGCAGATCTAGAATGTTGCTTTTGCTTTCGAAAAAATATAGAATCCTTTACTGCCCCCAAAGAACGTATAATTGAAACAAATGCACTGCTATGTAAATATAAACAACTTAAATATGTAGTCCTTCAGCTGTTGGTAAACTACGAATTACAAAATCCCAACAGCAGCTTTAAAGCAGATGTCTTTGCTTTGCAAAACTGTGTAAAAAGAAGTTAATTGCATATCATAAAATCCAAGTTTCTATGAAGATCCAACGCACTAGTCGCAGTTTTCTTCCTAGCATCTTGCTACGCACCATCGCTATAATTCTCCTACATGAATAATCATTTAGATTTTCTCTTTCTTTACGTCGTCTTCTTCGATTGCGATATCAATGGTTAGATACAAATACTAACTTGAACTATACTTATTGCAATATGCAATTAACTTCTACTCAATTGTTGCTTCGTAATTACGGTTAATGTAAACCAAGTTAATTTGAGGTGTATTAGAAATGATTTACTTACCATCAGTTGTAGTGTCATCCTCTCTATTTTTGTCGGCGGTTTCACTCTGAAACAACAAATGGTGACTTTATGTTAAAATAGTATAATGAAATCTTACTTCTACATCATGTAAAGTTTCTTCGTCTAGGGTGAGGTGAATTGGATCTTCATCCTCCTCTACTGCTGCAGGTTTTTCTTCATCCTTGACAGCTTCTTTTGCGACGCTCTGAAAAAGTAGTAAATCTCAAGATATGAACATATATTCGTTCGAATGTCCACCTTTGGTTCAGGTTTTTCAACCACTTGTTGTTCCTTGACAACCTCCTTCTCATCAGTGGTACACTCGGTTGTATCAGCTTCCGATTTCTTCACAACTTCCGGCTCCAGGCTTTCCTTAGCTTCAACGCTGACTGGATCTTCGGGTTTCTTCGGTTCTTTTTCTTCAGTCGGAGATTCCTCAGGTTTCTCTTCACTTTCTGATAGACAGTAACAGTATTTGAATAATGCAGATAATATCGAAGGAATACTTACGAGTTGATGGTTTCTTTTTAGTGTCTTTAGTCTCAAACACGAACGTTTCAGGATCAAGACCTTGCGCTTCCATTGCCTGGAAATAAACGGACTCTATTGCAATTATTTGTTTGATGAAAGAATTGTAAAAAAGCATTGCTTTTTCATGTTCTCTAATTAAACTTTATTAGTCGTCGCTAGTATTTGAATAGTCTCTTTTGGATGACAATACGAGCAGTTTTAAGTGCTCAGGTTCTACAGAGAAACTGCCTATATAATTTCAAGCTAATCTTCAACTTGTTTACCTCCTTCAAACGCTGTATCAAAAGCTGTTTGACTCCATTCTTGTCCAAGCCCCGCTTCTCTAGCTCTGCCTTTAAATCAACCACTCGCAAATCTGCCAACTTTTTCTCCTCACACTCACTCATCGCTAACAATATTGAACAGAAATATAAACAATGAATTTACTGCCAACGCTTGTTTTGATAGCAAGAATATTATAATAGTCAATACTCTTGTAATACAACCAGCAACAATTTTACAACAAATCAGCCATAAATGAAATAAGAGACAATTGACAAGATAGCTTGACGCACGCTTGACGGTCCCAGTGATGACACCCGTATGTGTTGCCAACATGAAGCGAAATGTCACCACAGAATATCCCCAGGGAGATATTCTGTGAATGTCACCAAAGGTTAAAATTTGTATATACGGGGTGTGTTTTATAATTATGTGCAACTATTATAGAGGGGGTGTTCAGAAGGCTTAAATTTCTTGATCAAAAAATTAGATTGAAAAAATGTCAATAATTTTTCAAAAACAATACCTTTTGAAATTTTTTTGAATCTGATTGTTGCATTGTCGTTTTTATATCTTGAAGAACTTTTACGTAGAATTTTTGAAACTGGTAATTTTTTCGGGTATTTAGGCCGTAGTGGAATTTCACGTTTCGCAAGGACGAGTGACTTGCATCTTCACATGCTCGCCAAAATCTAGCTCTTTGATTGATAGAATCCCTGTTTTACATTAATAAAATCGAATAATTCAGTACAACATACTGTATATGGACGAAATTAGAGTGTTTTTGCAAAGCCCAGTGTTAAAGTTAAAGTAAAATCTTGTTGAGCATAGCATGACCAAGAGTTGCGTGGTCAATCTTGCTCCTGTTCTTGCGTACATAGTCTTTCTTTTCCCGGCAAGAATTGTAGCAGTACGATTCAAAAGCCAAATGTCTTTTTTAATTTATTTAAATCATTGCAAATTCAAGCAAAATTTGCAAATAACTTTTTTCGCTGCTTTATCAGAGCGCTGAAACGATACATATGTATATGCAATATCGCTGAGACAGTCGCTTTGTTAAACTGGACAGAGTAAGACCGCTTTAACACATTGCTGACCTTCTTTACTGACCATGACAAAGAGCGCGTCATAATAAACTTACATTTAAACAATAATCACAGTAAACAGATATTCTATAGTTCGCGAGAAGCGCAAGATAGCTCGTGGTTCTGTCGGCTACCGGGTACCGAAAATCAGTTTTGCATTCGATTTATTGCCGCTGATTTATCTCTTCTACCACTCGAGACTGGCCCCAACAACATGTGCAATTATTATATTTTGTTTTTATTTGCCGCGGTTATTTATCGAGTAAATGGTCAAGGTAAATATTTTATTTTTTTCAGATTTATCCACTTAGTTGCACTTGCTTCAAGATCGCCAAGTTTCATTTCATCGCTATTCATTTGAACATCCAATATTGCTTAATTTTAATAGCATTCATTCTAGCAGTTACATCTACTGCAAAGGTTTTCAATTGTTTTATAAAGGAAAATAATTCAAACCAACAAGCTATTAACAAGCTGCATAAAAAAGTGTTGCGATGGTCCATAGGTTAGTTTCACTCACAACATTTAATATTATAATTTGTTGTAATATACAAGGTGTTGGTGATATGCCTCATACAAACAGTTATATAAAGGATTTTTAACGGTAGAAGTTTTTAGGAAGTATTCAAGGAAGTGAAGAGAAGTTCGAAAGAACTCCTTAACTTTGAGTTTAAATTTTGGGAAGATAACTCTAAATGTAGGAAAATTATCCATAAAAGATATGGACAAGCGTTCACGCTGAAGAAATTGTCACATTTTTGCATTTGAAAATAACCACAGGACGACTCGTCCACAATATTGACAAAAGAATCAATTTTGAGCATTTTTTAGTAAACCGGAAATATAAATGTTGAGAAGTTGCGGTTTTTCTTCATAATTGAAAACGCGTATGTAAATGTTCTCACTTGGCAATCAAAACAGTTTGTCGAATAACATGAAGCGTATATATAAAGTCATACCCATTCTACATAAGAATTACATATAATTGCGTTAGTTTGGGAATCCCGAGTTACTTTAATATTCTACACACATGCTTATTATCTCACTGTATGTGGTGATTAATAATTATTAAATTTGTCTGCGAACTTTAATGAACTTGAATAAATAAACCACATATAAATATTTTTTAGGTTTTTAAAAACACCACTTGCCTAATCTATTTCCGGCGATAAATCAGGTTTTTGCGTTAAGCAATTCTGCACTCGATTATTTTTCAAATCATCATTTTAATCGAATTATGGCAATAAATATGCAACTATAACAATGTGCGTTATGAGGTGCTTATATATTTCACATCCCACATATTGTTAGTTTAAATTCCTGAAAAAATCAGAAATTTTCAATCAATAATTTTTTAAACCGTTCAGTTTGTTCGTTCAAATCAGTTGTACTAAAATTGACAAAATCTTTGTTCTAGATACTTTTATCTGTTATTGTCTCACGCCGCAACTTATTACGGCTATCAATATGAACTAGTTCTAGTTCTTCCTAATTAAAAAAGATTGATTAATAGTATTATCGCACATTTGCGTTAAATTTTTCTAAAAGTGTCTGATTAATCAACATCAACTATCAATCACTAACAGCAATTAATGCGTATGTTAATGAGCATAAACTCGACCAATTGAGCAATAGAATTTTGAAACTCGCCATCTACTGATTCATCAAAATTCCCGAATTATGCACTAATTTAACTGCATTTTTGTTAAAAAAGGAACATCTTTTCGATTCGACAAAAATCTGTTAAATTTTTTTACGCATTGATAACTGATCAATGCGTTAACAAACTTTTTTCATACATTTGTGTTGCAATATGCATGGGTGAAGGTTTATTCATAATAAGTTCAGAGAAATTTTGTAATTTGTAATTCCATATCCTTCATCAGTAGTTCAAGGTAGAAACAAGTAATTTTCACGCATATTCATTTAGAATGTCGATTTCGAGGGAAAATGTAAAGAACTGAACATGGGAACATAAGTTTTTTCACTAAAAGTGACACGACTTAAATTAATATTAATAAATATTTGCTTTTCAGCAATGGGATATTAAAAACGGAAAATGTTGCAAGCAAAATTTTAGGGTGATTCACCTAGGAGATTCTTGCAACACGCCCTTGCGTGTTAACGCAAAAACGTTATTTTATTATCGCCTATCGAATTTCGCAATCGAAACTCAAACCGCCCCGGAAATATCACGATAATCGCCTTCAGGGTTCGCTCTTTAAAATATATATTTTTTAAACTGTAGGTATGATTTTACGAACTGTTTGTAAGAACGTTATTTTTCTACACCCGATACTTTAACGCGTATTCTGTATGCATATGCTTAAGACATTCTATCCAACTGTTTTGAACAGTTACAGTGTATTAGCTCAGAATTTTTAATGACAGAAATGCCCGAAATGCAAATTGATTAGAAGGCATATTACCTCATATGATAATACTCATCGTCCCATGGAAATAATGTACCATTAAACACAATAAAGCAATTGAATAAATTAACAGAGGTTGGTTTTCTAATTCGTGAGAATTCATTAACTTGGTGGGTCTCCAAAAACGGAAAATGACATTGAGGGCTAGTTTCGTTAAAAAAAAAATCCTTGAAAACTTCAGCTCAAGTAGCATAGTGAAGACCAGTCCGCTTTGTAAATATTTTCATCATTCGAGATTTTCCGTTTGACCTTCATCTTAAATGGTTTTATCTCAATTTGATCTTCAGTTAGACTGCACACATATGGAAAGTAGGCAGTAATGACTGCATGCAATAATTGCATTTAATCGCCTTTACTTTTGCGACTTAATTCACAGACGGTTCAATTTTAATGATTTTCAGTGGAAGATGGGACCTCTTGCACTACACCAACTAACCAAAATGGACAGTGCATCAACATTCTTAATTGCAAAGTGGTGACTAACTTACTACGCACTGAGGCAAACAATGTGGAAGTGAGATCATATGTAAGGAGCCTCTATTGTGGATCTAAGTACAACACTCCATACGTATGCTGTCCAGCAGATAACACCCGGAACATACTGATTAAAGTGAGTAGAATCCAAATATCGTGGAACTATTGCGTTACTTTTGAGCCAAATTTAACACATATAGACCCGATCCCTTAAAAGTAAGGAAGAATTACCAACAGCTTCATAATTGGTATATTGGCACAAGCTTGATGGTGGAAGTAGAGCAAGAATGAAGATGGTCTTGCAGTCTTGATTCTAGTCTAAAAATTCCACACCCTTGTTGCACATTTATATGTTCCAATTGGATATATTTTTTTAATAGCCCGATGAAACATCATTTGGAGAAAGTGATAAATTCCTTTCACCCCCAGCCTGTGGGTTAAGCAATGCTACTCTTCCGAAAGTCGTTGGAGGTATTCCAGCAAAACTAGGTAAGCCAGTTCTGTGCTGATGTACAATTTCCGATAATAGAACTTGCACGAATCTAGGTGAATTCCCTTGGATGGTATCCTTGGGGTATCGAAATTTGAAGAATCCTTCACAAACACGCTGGTTATGCGGCGGTACCTTAATTTCCCATCGACACGTGCTAACCGCTGCACATTGTGTTGTGACCGACTTGTAAGAAGCGCTAAATCATTTTTCATCAGCTATTTAGACTCGAATTTCTAAAATTCAGATATCTGGCGAGAGTTGGAGAATTGGATTTATATGACGACAACGATGGCGCCAATCCAACGGATATCGAGATCGAGAAAACGAAAGTTCATGAAAACTACGATGCAACAAAGCATATTAACGATATTGCCGTATTGGCTCTTAGTAGAAGTACTGAAGGACTCGGTAGGTAAACTGGTTGTTGCTCAAAAACAAATCCATCAAGTCTATAGTACGGTCTATGTCTCTCATACCCAGGGGCGGATCCAGCTTTAAAGTCTTCTGTTGTCTATGAAATTAGAAAAATTATCGTCGTTTTGTGCGAGGGTGGCGTAAGATTATTGCGAAATTTAATGTTTTCCGTCCCGTTTTTGCTCATATCTCGGAG